ACATCATTTGTTCAGTGTTCCCCTCACTGACCTTCCTGAATTTATTGCATTGCCAAAGATTGTCCAGGTGTTCCCAATGTGTACTACAGTGGCTTTAAAAACACTCCTTTATGCTGGGAAAAAGAATGCAGAGGAAGCTCAAAGAAAAACAAATTGCATGCGGTAGGCTGAAACTTGCGATCCTCTGGCCTCAGACTCCCAGAGCACTGAGATTCTAGGCGTGCACAGTTTAAAGAACTCTTAAAATGCGTAACAACCCAAGCTTTTAAATGAGCAAAAGAGCTGAATAGACTCTCACCAAGAAAGTGATGCAGGTGTCAGATAAGCACATTAAAATGTGCTCAGCATCATCTGACACCCCTGCAGGCCGGCCAGAGACACCTGACACACAGCACCCTTGCCCACCTCGGGCACCTCGGGCACCAGCTGCTGTTCCAGCTGGGCTTCCTGCCGAGCCTCTCTTGTTCTCTCTTCGAAGTGAGGAGCCCCTGGAGGCGTACTTAGCTCTAAGATTATGGCTTATGGGGCTGGGGGATGTAACTCAGTGGTACAGTGCATGCTTTTCATGAGCAAGGCCCTGGGTTCAATCCACTGCACCGAAAAACAAAATAAAAGTATACTGTGTAAAAAATAACTAAGTGTTGGTCAGGATAGGAAAAACTGACACCCACAGTTGCTGTTGGTGGAAATGTAAAATGGTACGAATGCTTCTGAAAACAGTTTGACAGTACCTTAAAAAGTTAAATATTAGCAGGGCATGGTGGTACGCGGCTGTCATTCCAGCACTTGGGAGGCTGAGGCAGGAAGATTGCCACGAGTTCGAGGCCTGCCTGGACTACATAGTGAGTTCAAGGGCAGCCTGAACTACATAGCGAGACCCTGTCTCAGAAAACAAACAAAAAATCCTGGTTTTTATGTGTTTTTTTTTCCCCATAGTTACATACTCACGGTATGACCCAGTCATTCTAACAGCTCAGCATTTGTCTAAGGGCAGAAACTGTTCCCACAAACGCTTGGAGATGATGTTCACAGCAGCTTTAGTGCAAATCCCAGTGCCTGTCAAGAGGTAAGTGGAGGGGCTGGGGATTTAGCTCAGTGGCACAGCGCCTGCCTGGCAAGCACAAGGTCGTGAGCCTGATTCCCGGTACAGGAAAAAAAAAAAAAAAGGATGACATGTAAATTCGTGAAGCATTCCATATTTTTAAAGAAACTGTTCAAATAGGAAGGAGCAACTGGGATGAAGGAGGGGAGAGGAAAAAGAAAGAAGGAAGAGGGAAAAAATATGTATATATATATATATATATATATATACACAGGATAGCTAGGATAAATGTACTACTCATATCTGTTGGTTTATTGAAAGGAACTGTAAATGTGTAATTGTTTGATCAGGCTTGCATGTCTATATCCAGTTATATGTGCAACTATTTTGAAGATGACATTGTGTGCTATAACAACCATTGCGAATATCCTATCACCATGTTTTAAAATTTTGTATTATTTTTATTGTTCTCTATGCTGTTTTGTTTATATATTTGTTTTTGTTATTTTGTTTTTTTTAAATGAAAAACACAATTTCTATGTATATAAGGACAGCTGGGATAGGTGTATTGCTGATGTCTGTAGTTTATTGAAAGGAACAGACAATGCTTAAAATTTTCTTTTTTCTTAGCCAGGTGTGGAGGCACATGCCTGTAATCCCAGCCCTCAGGAGGCTGAGGCAGGAGGATTGTTGCGAGGTCGAGGCCAGTGTGAGCTACAAAGTGAGCTCAAGGTCAGCCTGAACTGCATAGCGAGACCCTGTCTCAAAAAGACAAAAAAATGTTTTTTCTTTTTTCTTGACCAATTTTGCACACTTAAATTTGGTAATCAGAATGACTATTCTGAAAACAATATGCAGTATAAGAACCATTGCTGAACTCCTACCATCTTGTACGGACGGTGAAGCTCTGCATCATTTCCAGTGCTGTTTTTTTTTTAACTTGTTACTGTCTTTGACTGTTTGATCACTCTTACATTCTTCTGTCTGGTGGACTGAGCAACTTCATTGAAGATAACAGTATGTAATGCAGCAACCATTGTTAATTCCTGTCATTTTGTTTTGAGGTCATGCATCATTTTTGTTGTTTTTGTGTTGTTTTGATTTTGTCTTCATTGTTGTTTTGATAGTTTTTTAAATTTTTTAAATAAAAAAAAAATTTTGCCTGCTCTCTGCTTTCCAAAGTGGGAGAGCAGCTCCACATAGGCAGGGCTGTCCGTCTGCCCTCTTCACAGTGTACCCACCGTGCCTGGAGCTGTGAAAGGCCCAGAGTGGGCACCTGGCTGTTTTGCTGAACTCACGGACTTCATTTGTGCAAAAGGGGAAAAAGAAAAAAAGGCGGCGGGGAGCATCAGCCTGTCAGGGGCATCTGGGTTTGTACGAAAAATGCCTGATACTGCAGAGCCCTTGGTAGAAGCTGATTGTTATTTTTGTTTTTTGGTTTTTTTTATGGTACCAGGAATCAAACTCAGGACCTTGTGCTTGCCAGGCAGGCGCTTGTGCTGCTGAGCTATATCTCCAGCCCAAGCTGATTGTTTTGTGTGTGTGTGTGTGTGTTTTGTTTTGTTTTGTTTTGTTTTGAGACAGCGTTTCGCTATGTAGTTCGTTTAGGTTCATTTGAACTCACTTTGTAGCCTAGGCTGGCCTCAAACTCGAAAAGATCCTCCTGCCTCAGCCTCCCAAGTGCTGGGATTACAGGCGTGCACCACCATGCCTGGCAAGCTGTCATTCTTATCTGGAACCTCAGAAGCAAGCACTGAAACGGGAAACAGGGAAACAGGAAACAGCACCCTCGAGGACAGTGACCTTGGCCAACATCTGCGACACAGGCCTGTTCTGCAGGAGCCCTGTGAAACAGATGTTCTCCTGGATCCGGCTCCCAGGGCCATTTTCCCCGCCCTTGGAACTGAGCACTGCATTCCTGGTGGCATTGCCTGTGTGATTGAATGGGGACACTGCCACTGGGGTGCAAAAATCCCAGCCTCTCAGGTTCCCTGGAACCTCCAGTGGGCAGAAGCGGGAGCCTGAGAAACCACAGGAATGAGTCTGGCTCTGACTAAGCAGTGCTGGCGAGAAGCAGCGAGGCGCAGAACTTCCCCTCCCAGCTTAGACCAGCTGGCGAGCCCCAGTGGGTGGTAAACAGCGTCTTGCTAATGACAGACGCTACTTGTGTGCAGAGAAAGACTGAGGGTTCATTTTGTTTGTTTGCTTTTGGCTTTTGACACAGGGTCTCCTTCTGTAGCCCAGGCTGGCCTCCAACTCTTCTTGAGCCTCCTGTCTCAGCCTCCCAAGTGGTGGGATTACAGGCGTGTGTCACGTCCAGCTGATTCATTTTAAACATTTTGTTTCACTTACAGGTGTGTGTAGGGGATTACAGTGTTTGTAACTGTGGGTACCCGTAAAAAGTCTGAATGCCCCAGAACTTTGGAAGTGAAGATTTAGGTTTAAAGGCAAGTTCCATCATCCCCTTCATAGATGTTGGGGCTTGAAGGGGCCCTAGCTCCTGTGAGCCTCGGTTTCCACAGTGGAGCGGAATGCAGTAGTTACTGAGTGCAGTTCTTTCAGGTCCCTAGAACTACGCCCACCCACTGGCATGTAGGTCAAGGCTACAGGGCTAGCTTGTGCGCGGGCTGTGCTGTTGGGATAGAGACTCGAATCCAAGTTCTGCGGGGCTCTGGTTCCATGCCAGGCCCTGGGCTGGACGCTCGGAGCACACCCCAGCGGGTAGACAATAAAACCAATGCTATTTCATGTTAGGTGACAGCTGCTAGGGGACATGTGTATCCATGATGTGTGCAGGGGACAGGGAAGGAGAGGGGGATTTCAACAGCGTCCTAGTGGCTGACTCTGGGGTAGACCAGTTGACTGGGCCCTACTGGGAGGCAGGGAACGTGCTCAGCCATTTCAAGGAACAGTGAGGGCCAGGACTGGGCTGAGCAGAGGGAGCAGGTGTGAGGGGCCTTGGGAGCGTCGGTGGGCCTGAGCCACAGCAGCGCTCTCAGCAGAGGTCTCCTGAGCTGAGCTCCAGGTGAAAAGGTCACACCGGCTGCCACCCAGTCACAGAGGAAGGGGGTGGGGACGAGGAGGAGGCAGGGTCTGAAAAGGGTCAGGGTCTAGAGGATTTAGAAGTCAGAAAGTGGTGCTGGACAGGAGGGTGGCGCCCAGGTTTGTGGCCTGGGGATCTGGAAGGACAAGGCCGCTGTCAGCCCAGCTGGGACCCCGGGGACGTCCATGGAGGGCAAGGAAACCCACCCATCACCCTAACCTACTCCCGAGGACACTTCAGAGAAATAAAAAAAATAGACAACAGGTCACAGCCAGATTCTCAGAAGGCCAAGTAGGGTGTACCAGTCTGAGTCATTATCCACTTAAAGTGAATGATGAACGGTCTGAAGTTACAGAGAAATCTGTAAAGAAATCACTCCCCGTTTCCCGGCCCTCCGTGCTGCCGAGCACATGGGCTCCCTGCAGGAGCCCGGAGCCCCCCAAAGGATCCCCCAAAGTGCAGGCCGCTTCCGGAGAGGGCACAGCAGATGGTTTATGATGATTTATGAGATGGTATCACCACACACGATTCCAACTGGGCTTTATTTTATTTCCAATATCATGGCAAGGGTACAGGAGGAGTTCAGGCAGAGACATCACCTTCAACACGTCAGGGAGAAACTCACTGTCAAGCACATCTTGCACTCCAGCAGATGATTATAAACAGAACACAGTTAGCAGCATTAAATTAAAGTGCTTTCTGCCACGCTTCTTTCAGAAAGCTCTCTCTCTCTCTGTGGTACAAATTTAATTTTACTTAGTGTGTAAGAAGCTCAACATTTTATTCATTCCCCAGGGACTACGCTGAAAAAAATTCATTTTTTTTTTTTTTTTCCAAAAACACAGAAATTCATTGGGATTGGGTGACTTTTCCTGACACACTGTGAGGTGGCCGCCATCTGTCCTACTGGTACACTGGTTCGGCCTAGCCGACCACTGTCCCACAGACGGGAGCCTGAGGGCCTGAGGGCCGAGCAAGCGCTGGAAGGCAGCCTCCTGTGTGGCCACGCACCACCCTGCTTCCCCACAGGGGCCAGCTCCCTCTGCTGAGCTCTGCCCTGGGCCTTCCTGCTGGGACACTGTTGCTTCTTTCGAGAACATTCTGCCCAGGCCCTGCTTTTCCCAATCAACACTACAGTGACAGGAACCTTCCCCATTCTGACCAGCAACAATCCCAAAATGCAAAAACAGGAAGCAGCTAAGTCAACATGAGGCCAGGTGTGTCGGAGGCGGCTCTGGGGCCCAGGGGAGCAGGAGGAGGGGGCCGTGGGCCCATGGGGTTTGGGTAAGACGGGACACAATCGAGTTAGCTCTCAGGCGCGGGTGCCCCGCGCACAGCAAGGTCAGATGGGGGCCCTGTTCCACGCCAACTGCTCTCCAGCCACCCTGAGCGGGGCCAGCGCCCCCGCCTTCCGCCATCCTTCTTCTACATCCTTTAACCACCGAGGCCAGGCCGGCTCTCTCCAGTACCACAGCGCCACATGCACGCTTCAGGTCCTGGGCTACACTCAGCCTTTCTGCAACTATTTCAGATGCCTCTGGGAAGGGAACGCGGCCCCTGCCAACATGGCCTCGCCGCGGGGTGCTGAGGTGCGAGAGGGACAGTGCACAGGGCCGGAGGAAGGTGGGGTGTCTGCCTGGTACCCCTGACGGCTGCCATCAGTCGATCTGCGAGGCGGCTACTGCAAGACCTTCCCAAGCAGACGGAAAACCTTCAATCAAGTGACCCGGAGAAAGGCCTGACCACGACCCCCAGTACCATGCTGCTGGGTCATCCCCGAAGTCTCAAGGGGCCCGGCCAGGTCTCCCCGCAGGAGCAGGCGGAGGGCAGGGGAACGAGTGCGGAAGGGCTGGGACAGCCCGAGACAGGAGGTGCTTTCATTCTTGCAGTGGCGGCCAGGGATGGGGGCCACACGTCACCGAGGGCAGGCGGCACTGCCCTCCTCCACCGAGTCCCCCGCCGTCCACTATCTGCTGGGCTGCAGGTACTGGTGCGTGAACATGTTGAGCTCGCTGTCCAGCCAACCGGCCTTATTCCTGCAAGGACACAGTCACTTCGCACCAACGAGGCTGCCACGGGCAACGCTGGCGCTGCCCGCCAAGCACCACTCGAGGGAGGGAGACGGTGCTGCACTCGCCCTCCACTCGCCCTCTTCACCTTACTTTAGAGCTGAGGGAAAGGGGTCCCAGAGACAGGAAACAACGTGCCAAGTTCACAAGGTGATATTTTGGAAAGAAAATCAGGGTTTTTTTTTATCTTGCTAAGTTGCCCAGACTGGCCTTTGAACTTGCGATTCTCCTATCTCAGCCTCCTGTGTAGCTGAAACTAAAGGTATGCACCTCAAGAATCAGGCTTTTCTAGGGCTGGGGATATAGCTCAGTGGCATAAGCTCCTGCTTGGCAAGTGCAAGGTTGTGAGTTCAATCCCCGGTAAAAGAATCCGGCTTTTCTGCACCTCAGGCCCTGTGTCTGCTTTACCAGGGCCTGGGGCGGAGCCCTGACTGTGGGAGGTCAGTTTTCCAGCTCATCCTCTGCCGCCTTTTCCGGGTCAGCCCTATCCCTCCGCAGCAGCAGCAGCAGCAGCACCTGCTGCCGGCCCTGACCTGGGAACTCCCGGGGGAGAGCAGTGGGACACTAGGAAGCCGCCATCCCAGTTGTGGCCAAGGAGCAGCGCACCATTCAGGCCTGAGCGGAGAAGTCTGCGGGTCTGGGGAACGGACAGAGGTGAAAGCCTCGAGCCCTGCCTTCTGGGCTCTGCCAACCTGAGGGCCTCTGCCAACAGGGCTAGGGGCAGGAAGTCCAGGCTTTCTAGGGGACGTTACTGTGGGCTACGCAGGCTGAAGACTTGCACAGCTCCACAGTGCTCAGCTGTGTCTGTCACGAAGTCGCACTCCCTCTTCCCAGTGAAAACGAGACACAGGGAAGTTGAGCGCATGCTGGACCTGAACCCAGGACTCAGACTCCCTGACACCCTTTCCAGCAGACTGCTCACAGAAGCTCTGTGTCTCACCCAAGACCCCTGGAGATGAGGTCCCAGTCCTGTCCGTGGGGGTGGCGGGTCACCCTCTGCAGGCAGCTTTCCTGCTCAGAGCGGGAGCTGCTGGCTCAGCCTCCTGGGAAGGGGCGGACAGAGGGCTGAGCACGCATGGGCTGCCGCAGCTCAGAGAAGGTGCCTGTGAATTGCAATCCCACGGTTCTGTCACGCTTGCTTCTAGGGTGTCACCATGCTCCCAAGTTAAGGGCAGTACCGCTGTGTCTCATTTGCTGAGCTTAAAACTGGCACCGTCTGACAGCCAGCAGTGCCTCATCAACATCTAACAAGCACACTGGGTCCCCACCACGGGTCTGTGCCACGTCTGCACGGTACCCGAGCCCACGGCCTGGGCTGCCCGGCCGGCCTCACCTGAGCAGTTTTGCTTTGCTCTGAAGGGAATCGAGAATCTCAATTTTCTTGTTCATGGCGGCAATTTCCTGCTCCAGGTTCTCCCGGGTGACGTCTACTTGCTGGCAGAGATGAGCAAAGGTCCCAGACAGTTCCCTGAGGGGACAGAAGTGAGGTTTCTGCACAGGGCCACCTGGAAGGACGTCACGGTAGCTGATTCCACCACAGCAGCGCCGGCCACACCCCTGCTGGCAGCTCTGCCAGCGCCAGTCCTGCTTTGGTGGGGTCCTTCCCATCTATGGCCAACTTGCTGGGCACCACCACGGCAAGAAAAGCACAGCATGGGCTGTGCAGCCCGGACTGGGCGCAAGGCCAGGATTCAGACCCTGGCACCACTGCTTGTCACCTGAGTGGCAGGAGACGAGACACAATTTTCCAAGGCTCAGTTGCCTCATTTTGAAAAAAGGAAATGCCAATAAAATACCACCTACCTCAGAGATGAAGGAATAAGGGAAAAGTTAGGTACCTAATAGTTGGCGAAGTTCTGCCACACAGAAATAAGGCAGCACTTCCAACCCCATACCCACAGCAGGCAACAGGTGTCCTCCAGGCCTGGGAGGTGCCACAAATGGGCCGCAATCCAGGATGTCAAAGGCAACCTTCAAAGGCTCTTAGCAAGCGCGTCCCTGCCTCCCCAGCCCAGCCCCAGCCCGGGACACAAGGTGTCCTGGAGACCTCTTCCCCTTCCTGGCCCCAGTGCTGGATCACACAAAAGCCTAGGGTCCAGGACGCTGCAGGCCAGGCTGGGAGGGAGACCCCCCCGCCCAGGGTCAGTGGGCCACTCACTGCTGGACTTGGTGGCTGCAGTTGGAGCCCGTGTAGCTGATGATGAGCTGCAGCTTCTCGCTGGCGTACTCCACAAACTGCCGCTTGAAGGCCCTCTCCTTGGCCTTGGTGGTCCAGGTCAGGCGCTCATAGACGTAGAGGAGGCCATAGAGCCCGAAGGAGAGGGCAATGAGCCGCCAGCCCACTGCCTTCCACACCTGCAGAGGCGCCCTGTCAGTGGAGCAGTGCCTCTCTGGGCCCCTTGCCGCAGCCTCATGGCCCTAACACTCCCGGGGCAGCCTGGAGCCTCACCCAAGGAGCCCTGTGTTCCACTAAGAGCCCCCTTCAGTGTCTCCTTTGACCCCACTGAGGCCAGGGGCCTCTCTCCAGCTGGAAATGTGAAACTGAGTGCTGGCCATAGGATATGACTTATCCATAGTGGGGGGTCCAGAGCTAGGTAAGCAGAGTTTTTTTTTTTTTGGTGGTACTAGGGATTGAACCCAGGGCCTTCCCACTAAGTTAAATGCCCAGCCTATTTCAAATTTTTGACAGGGCCAGGCGTGGTACCACATGCCTGTAATTCCAGCACTTGGGAGGCTGAGGCAGGAGGATCATTGCGAGTTTGAGACCAGCCTGGGCTACAAAGTGAGTTTAAGGCCAGCCTGAACTACATAGGCAGGAGGATCATTGCGAGTTTGAGACCAGCCTGGGCTACAAAGTGAGTTTAAGGCCAGCCTGAACTACATAGGCAGGAGGATCATTGAGAGTTTGAGACCAGCCTGGGCTACAAAGTGAGTTTAAGGCCAGCCTGAACTACATAGCAAGACTCTGTTTCAAAAAGACCAAAATAAATAAATAAATAAATAAATTTTGAGACAGGGTCTCACTAAGTGGCTAAGTTGCCCAGGATGGACTTGAACTTGCAGTCCACCTACTCAGTTTCCCAGAGTGCTGGGATCACAGGCATTGCACCATCATGCCCAGCTAAGCAGAATTATTATTGTTATTTTTTATAGTGCCGAGGGTTGTCACTGTTTTTTATAGTGCCAAGGCCTCTCACATGCTAGGAAGGGATCTACCACCGGGCTACATATCCCCCACTCTCCCAGTAAGCAGAACTCTACTCAAGTTCGATGCTGGTGTCTTGTGAAGCAACATCTCCTGCTAACGACATAAGCAGCAGAGCACTGCACATCGCTCCTCAGAAGACAGCGCCTTCGGTCTGGGTGAGGGCAGCGGGTTATAGCCAAAGAGCAGGGCCCTGAGCCTGACAGCAAGGCTCTCACGCTGCCCGGCATGCTGCCTGTGTGACCCTGGGCAGTTTCTTTACAGGTTTGCTCATTCACAGACAAGGCCCAGGGTAGCCGCGTGTGGTGTTGCACACCTGTAACCTGAGCTACTCGGGAAACTGAGGCAGGAAGACTGTGTGCTCAAGGCAGCCTGGGTAACTAGTTTAGTGAGACTCTGCTCAAAATAAAGAGGACCGGGGATGCAGCTTGGTGGTGTTGCTGGCTTAGCATGACCAAGGCCTGAGGGGGTCCAGACCACAGAGCTCCCCCGGATCAAAAGCACTCAGCTCACCGAAGTGCTGGGCTGGGGCACGGATCAGCCCAGCACCGAGCCCTTCGGCCCCTCCCACCCGCCCCACTCCTGGAATAGGACTCATCACTGACCACACCGCCAACCACCAGGATGCCCATGGAGGTCCTGGATGTCAGAGAGGCCAGGCCGGTAACCATGGAGACCATGAGCTCCTCCTGGGTGAGCGAGCCCTGCGGCAGGGGCGGCATGCTGGGGTTGGCAGGTGTCAGCGGGACAGGTCGCTGCACCTGTGGAGAGAGGCCACGAAGGGGTGAGAAGAAGGTGGCGCGTCTCTCGGGCAAGCAAACCCTCAGGGACCCTCAGGCTAGGGGATCTGGGACAGGGACACAGAGCATCTCTTCAACGTCCCAAAAACTAAAAGAGAGAAAGCAAGCTTCGCGTGCAGCCCTTACTTTCCCAGGCACTAAAACAAACTCAGCCGGCATCGCAGCTGGGCCAAGGCCAGGCTGCTGTGGCAGCAGTGCTGAGCATGCCACGCCGTGTGGCGCACATGGCCCAGCTGCCTGCCTTGGGGAGCCCACTTCGGAACGGCCCAGGTGCCTGATGGTGGGGTACAGACTGACCTTGCATGATGCCCTGGGGGAGGAACTTTGCTTGCCTGGTCATTGTAGCCCATCAAGGCCCGACGGCTGTTCTTAGGGCCCAGAAACCTATTCACCAGCATGGTCCACCCAAGAGAAAAATGGAACTCGATGTCCTCCTGAAAGTCAGCACACAGCTTGTCACAGTTGAGGTCGTAGCTGAGGGAGAAGCACTGGCGAGGGACCAGCATATCTATCTGATTCCGCACAGACACAGGAAGGAGGGGCTTCAAGCCATCTGCCAGGGACACAACGCACACGTGAGCTCAGGCCTGTGCCCTGCCGGCGCCAAGCCTCAGGACACGGCCACACCAGCTGCGGCCAAGAATGCCGAACTTCTACCCAGAAACGACCGCTGTGGGGCAGCCTCACTGTGACAGGTGGGCCCGCGCTCCTTGAGGGGACACAGGGAGGAGCTTGAGGGTCCAAACTGCTAACACCTACGCCTCGTGAGGGTTAGAGGCAGGCAAGTTCTCAGGCTGCGACAGTGCCATGTGGTAACCCGGGACAGGATTCCCAAGGCGACATATGGAATAGACTCGCCCCACCCCCAGAACCTGAGGTACTACAGAGTCACGGTCAGCAGTGACAAGCTAGGGCAAGGCCACCGTTTCTCTAGAACGGCCTTTCAGGTGACCTTTCGGCAGCCCCAAAGCCCCAGAGCCCCGGACCAAGCCCCCGCGGCGCTCACCAATCATGTCCTGCTGCATGGTCTGCAGCGAGCTGGCGATGGCTGTGGAGCAGCGGTCCGACAGGTTTCGGCCCAGCCCTTCCTCTATGTGGCGGTGCAGTTCCTGCAACCAGGAGAGGGAGGTGAAGAGCAGCAGCGCCCACCAGGAGTTTCTTCTGGAGAGCCGGGGCCCACCAGCTGAGCAAGGAAGGCTCGTGTCCAGGCTTCCACTCCACTGCGAAGGCACCCTGGACTAGGCCAGCCAGGGCCAAAGCACTCTCTGGTGGCGACTCCCCTGGCAGCCGAAGAGCAAAGGGGCCCTGCTGCCTCGGAACTCACGTTCTTGTAGACCTTGAGGACGACTGGAGAGGGGTGGAAATCCATCTGGTACTCGTCGACCAGCACGGAGAGGCGCCTGATCTCCTCCGCCATCGCAGTGGACACCTACGGCCCAGGGAAGCGCGCTGTGAACGTCGGGAAGCTCGCGGCCCGCGCCTGCGGCACCGGGCCGACAGGCTGCGTCCTGAGACCGCGGCACCCAACACCAGTCTGAATGCGGAGGGGCGACCCGCCCGGTGGGCCACCCTGGGAGCCCAAGGCGAGGCTTCATGTCCTCGAATCAGGGCCACAGCCTCCTCCTGGAAGCCGAGAAGCCCCGAGGAAGAGGATGTCTGACCTGTCCCTTTCCCGGCACGCTGGACCCTGAGTCCATGTCTCCCCAAATCCTTCCTCCCGGCTTCTCACCTGCCTTTCCACTTCCTCCGTCATCTGCTTAATCCGAAGCTTGTAGTCTTGAGCCAGGAGCTCCAGCTGTTTGTCGATGAACCGCAGCCGGTCTTGCCGCTCTTCGCGCATCTCCAGGCAGTAAACCCTGAGAGCAGGGAGAGCTGCTCAGAAGCCCGCAGTCCCCACTGACCACGCACAGGCGGGACAGCAGCCTCCGGGGAGCCTGCGCGGGCCTCACCCGCTCTCCCGCCGGGGCACGGCCTCACACAGCAATCCAGGGGACCCCGCCCTACCCAGCAGGGGGTGACAACCGCTCACTCCACACAGAGGGCAGGGTGCTTGAGGGGGGTCCTTAGAAAAATTCTGCCAGTTGGTATGGGAGAAAGCAAGCTCAGCCTCACCAGTGACCAGGGAAATGAAATTAGAAAGAGTGACTACTTCCCCTAGAGGCCTGGGAAAAGGGCCAGGCCTGAAGCTGTGACTAGCGCTGCGGAAATGGGGGTTCCTGCAGGCAGTGCTGGGGGCCAGGTGGGGTAGAGCTGCTCCAGAGAGCCACAAAGCAAAGCTGAGTAAAACTGAAAACCACCCACCCTAGGGCACAGCAGTCAAACCTCTAGGAATTAGTTCTAGGAAGACTCACAGAAGTGCCTGAGGGGACACGAGCAGGTGGCCACTGCTTTAGGGCAATAGCATAAAAAAGCCAAGACTGAAAACCAACTGGCAGAAAGGGGCTGTGGTGACCAGCCCTGAGCGCACGCCTGTGTGAGCGAGGCTGGGGACAGGGGCAGAGTGGGATGCACACGGGATGGCCCCACGCCGACAACCACAGCACACCGAGGGCCATGACACGTGTGCCCGGATTTCTGTGAAAAGTACGTCATGAACGGGTGACAGACTACACAAAGTCACGATCACGGTGGCCTTGAGGAGTGACAGGGTCAAATAATCAAAGGGCACTTAATATCTTTTCCTCTTATATTTTAACTTAATATAAAGCAAACACTGCCAGTTCTAGGTGGTGGAAAGCAAGGTATTTTTATATTATTTTCTGTACTTCTCTATATTTTAAATGTCTCCAAAAAGAAAAAACAAAAACAAACAAGTGACTTCAGGGTCTGAGAATGGCTGGGTGGGCAGGGTGGGGTCCATGCTACATAGGCAGGCGGGCGGCGCTGGCAGCCCTGCTCCCCAGCTGCCCTGCTCCCCAGTTGCCCTGCTCCCGGGCTATCCTGCTCCCCAGTTGCCCTGCTCCCGGGCTATCCTGCTCCCCAGCTGCCAGTATGGCTCTAAAGGAGTCTGAGGGGAAGCCCAACGACTCAGCCGCCCTCAGGGCTCTGCCCGGGGACCCCCTAGCCGCCCAAGGCAGAGCAGTGCAGCGTCAGCTCGGCCCCCTCGGCCCTCTGCACCCCTCCTACCGCTGCTCCTGAGCTGCAATGTGCAGGGAGTCCATGATGAGGCGGACGGCCTCCGCGATCTGCTTGGCCCGGACAGTGTGTTGTTCAAATTTGGTCTTCACTGCAGACTGGGAGATGCACTCCTGGAACACACAGAGGTGCTGAGGGCCAGGCTCTGGCTTTCTCTGCTGGGGACGTGACCAGTGAGAGCAGGAGGCACAGGAACGGCTGACACCAGCATCGAAGAACTTACCTCAAATCTCCTCTCGAAATTCTGAAACTCAAACATCCTCACTTGAAAGCCTTCTGCAAGAGCGCCCCCTAGGAGAATTGCAGAGTATTAGCCCAGAGACAAATGCGGACCCGCCCTTGCCTAGTGGGCATGAGGAGCCATCGCTGGACAGCAAGGGCCTCTCACCCCAGGACCTTCTCACTGCCTCTCCCCAAAATGGTTTCCACTGAGTGACAGCACATGACCCGACACCTTGAAGCATGGAGAAAAGGAGGACCTCTGTTCCCATGGTTACCTCCTTCCGGCATGCCCTGGGCTTTCTGGATCCTGGCGTTGAGCACCTCCTTGGCAGACACAAAGAAGATGCGGTCCCCGGCCTGGGCTCGATCCACCACACCCAGCTCGTCCACCAGGAAGCTGGTGCAACGCTCCATGTGCTGCCGCCGCACCTGGAGCCCATGCAGAGGGGAGTCTGTGAGCAGGGTGGGGAGCAGCAGGGCTGTTTCTGGGAGCCCCCAGCCCCCAGCTGGCTTTTGTTTTTCCTTAATGGGTCACACAGGTGCGAGTCCACATTCAGAAGTGAAAGATCACCCACCACCTCTGGTCCCTCTCGTGGGGGTTTCTTGAGGATCAGCCAAAGTTATCACACATACGAAAGCCAGGTGCTTCCACCAGATTTCATCCGCTCAGCAAATCTATCCACTGCACCCATCCCTCCGAGGAGGACACCGGATTACAAGAGATGTTAAGGAATCTGCCAGTCACACCGCGCGGGATCAGCCAGGTCTGGACTCTGGCCTGCAGACCGCAGACTTGATAAAAGGAATCCACTACCGCCAATCTGTCACCCCCTGCTCTTTCATTTCACGCACATCAAGCGTTACGAGTTGTCACCGATGGCCAATTATTCTTCACTGTTCTTTCAAGCTTCTTTTTCTGTCAAGCAGAGGCACCCACCTCCTCCATGTACTCGGGCTCCGAGGCAGACGCGTCCCAGCGGTTGTTCAGGATGAAGATGTTTGGGCGGGAGAGCCGCTCGCTCACCTTGTGGAAGAACTGCTTCTCCTAGGCAGGGGACGAGGCCTCAGGATGGGGGCTGCACCCGCCAGGGTGCCCCAGCCACCTGCGGAGCCGGGGCCCAGGGGAGGCGGGGGAGGAGGTACCGTCTGCATCAGGGTGGACTCCGAGTTGGCCACCAGCACAAACACGTCAGCGTCCAGGCAGAACTTGTCGATCCAGCTGTCCAGCTCTGTGGTGACATCGATCCCGGGGCTAGAGGGGACAAAGGCAAACCGACATGGTCGGGCGGAGAACACGAGCCCTGTCCTTCCGGCTGTGAACGGACCAGCGGCTTGTGAGGCAGGCGAGCCAGGAGGGAGGACATCGGGCCTGGACCTTGTGTGGGGGATTTTACTTCCTACTTCACGTCCTTCTAGACCACCTGGAAATGTGGGCTTTTAGCATAGGCAGGTACCACTCTTACACAATATAAGAACTGGTAGTTTTACTTTAGGAATGTATAAAATAAAGTCTGAATTTATTCTTTTTTTTTGAGACAGAGTCTCACTATGTAAACTCACAGTCCTCCTCCTGCCTCAGCCGCCCATGATTACTGGCATGCACCACCAAGCCTCACCCTAACGTTTGACTTTTGTGAGTCTGGATAAACACTACCGTAGTGTATTTCTTGGTACAGGTGTAACATGTCCACAGAATAGCAGGCCAAGTTTCCTTGAAGAGGAATAACGTGGCCGGCCGTGGTGGCACATGCTGCTCAGGAGGCTGGGGCAGGAGGACAGCAAGTCTGAGGCCAGCCTGGGCAACTTGGCAGACCTGGTCTCACATTTAAGAAGAAAGGCCCGGGACTGTAGCTCAGTGGTAGCGCATGAGCGCCTGGGTCCCATGCCCAGGACTACCCCGCCCCCAAAATGGAAGTAAAATACCACACTGACCCTACCACCGCATGACCCCCCCCCCGCGTACACGCTAGGGCGAGGAGTGAGAGAATCTCCACTCCGAAGCACTCCCCTATGCCCCCAGCCCAGCCCGGAAACGTGCAGGGCACTGAGGCGCTGGCTCCCACAGGCAGACCTTGGCGGAATCCCAGGAGGACGAGGGTTTGGTTCCGCTGTGCACAAGAGCTGGGCACAGCTCCGTGGCAGAGCACTCGCCTCAGCGTGTACAAAGCCCCGAGTTCCACCCCCAGCACCACAGAAAGAAGGAAAAAGCAGAGCGAGGCAGGGTCACCCAGAGACGGACGGAAACCGGGGCCTCCGGGTCCAGGCCTCCGAGGGGGGTGCCCCTCCTACCTGTCCATCAGCACCAGGTCATCCTTCAGCAGCGGGCACTTGGAGTTGGGCCACATCACGCTCACCAGGCTGCCGGCGTGCAGCTGCTCATCCTGATGCAGGGCGTGGGCCAGCTGGTTCACAGTCTGCCGGGGGAGAGGGAGAGGAAGATCAGGCCGCAGGGCAGCCGCCAGCCAGATTCACCACGACACAGTCCTGTGCTTGCCACGGCACAGCAGCCCTATCAGCTACCCCTTTTCTTCCATCTCTGTCCTATACAGAGTTACAGGCTGGGAGCTGTCAGTGAGAACCAGCTTTCTAGCTGGGTGCACTAGGGCATGCCTAGAGTCTTCGGGAGGCTGAGGCAGGAGAATCACAAGTTCCAGCCTAACCTGGGCAACTTAGTGACTAAGCAAGATCCTGTCTCGAAAAATTAAAATAAAAGAAGGGCTGGGAGTACAGCTTAATGCAAAGGCCTTAGGTTCAATTCCCATCAATGCAAAAAAAAAAAAAAACAAAAAACCAAGAAACAAAAAAGTTTTCTTCACTTTCCTAGACATCATCCTAAAGCTGATGTTCTGCATTAATTTTTTTTTTTTTTTTTAAAGACAAGGTCTCATTATGTAGTCCAGGCTGGTCTTGAACTCACTATGGAGCCCAGGATGGCTTCAAATTTGCAGTGATCTTCCTGCCTCAGCCTCCAGGTGCTGGGAGGTAAACAGGCATGCGCCACTACTACTGAGCTTGGGTTGATTTCTTACGGATCTAGATAAGCACCTGCCCCGAGGTGGAACGTTGCCTCTCAGAAAAACAAACGCACGTGGGTGGCGGGTCCCAGCTGGTGTGCAGGAATCCCAGCGCATGCAGGCCCCTCTGCCTGTGACTGAGGAGGAACGGTGTGCTCCTTACTCCACGCATGTCACTGGCCTGTCTGGCCCTCACGAGGACCACCACGGCTAGTTCTTAGCTCACCTGACTCCCTGAACACTCTCGTCCTCAAAAGAGCTCGTCTGAAACAGGGTCTCTCATCTTCCACCGCAGGGAGGCACTGCCCTTTCTGCGGAGGTGGGGCCATCCTGTGACGTGGTCTCTCTGAGGGGTCCAGATCACTCCGCCAGCACCCCCTTGGCTGGCACCCTCCCTGGCCAGCACCCACCTTGACGCTCCTCTTCTCCTCCGAGCCCTCGGTGAGCAGGAAGGCCTCGTGGCCGTCGGTGCCCCCCACCCGCAGGAAGCAGTTGGTGGTGTGGCCAATCCCGGAGGGCAGAACCTTGTCCCACAGCATGGCATTGATCACGGTGCTCTTCCCGTTGCTTGTCCTAGGAGGAAACAAGGCCATCAGCAAAGCCGCCCGCAGCGTTTTGATGTCACTGGTGGCCCCAAGTTGAGTTCTCTGCACTGTCCTTGTGGCCAGACAGCACCCAGAGCAGGTACTCCGCGTTCACTAAAACAGGCAGGCAGGGGCTGGGGACTTAGCTCAGCGGCACAGCGCCTGCCTGGCAAGGGCAAGGTCGTGAGTTCGATTCCCGGTACCGGAAGAAAAACAAAAACAAAAAAAAAACCAGGCAGACAAATGTCGCCTGGCCTGAGCCTGCACCATAACGGGGTTCACCACCTCAGCCCCATCTGTGAGGGGCTCGTGCGGCGTGGTGCCAACCACAGATGTGTGACCTGTCCCTGAAGACCACGCTGCCTCTCGGAGCCTGTCCCCCTCCCAGCTGAACCACTGAGCTGAGGGCCACACCAGAGGCTGGCACGGGCATCAAGACAGGATCGAGGCACAGTGCCTATTCCCCAGGCGACGGCCATGTGCCTGGCAGCCCACTGGGCTAGGGGTGTTTTTCCTATTTTCAATTTTAATTTATTTTTAGTTATCTATAAAAGTCAACTAAAATAGAAAATTCTAACAAGAAAACAGAAGGGAAAAGCTTCACGCCATTAGGGAAATGAAAACCAAACTCAAAGTGGGAACCAAGGGCAATGGCCCGCACCATACGCCCTGGAGTCCCGAGGCTGAGGCAAGAGAATCATACTGTTATGGCCGTGTCTAGATGTCCCTCCCAAAGCCCCACGCAGTCATAGGTGGGGTTTTTTCAGAGGGGGCTGGATCTAGAGTGCGTGACTGATTCAGGGCCCAACGCTAGGATTGATGGGCTAGGATTAAGGGTGATTCCTAAATCAGTCCACTGATTGCTTTGGCACCACCCTAATCCCCAGAGCCTGGACACAACGTAAGAGACAGCAAGAGGCTTCTTCTTGTCTCTTGCTTGCTTTGCTACCTCTGCCGGCCATGAACTGCTTCTGCTCTGCAACTCCTGTCTGCCACGCCACTCTGCCTTGGAGCCGGCCAATTACGGACTGAAAGCTCTGCAACTGTGAGCTACATAAACCTTTTCCCCTTTAACTTTGGGTGTTGCGTAAGTTGTCTCAGCAATGAGAAAAGTAAATAAGACACATGAACCCAGGAGGTGGAGACCAGGCCGGGCAGCATAGCAAGACCCCACCTCAGACAGAAAACAAACACAAACAAAATGCAAAAAATCTCACAATGGGATACCACTTCTCCCAGCAAGCACGGCCACTATCAAAATCAGCTCTAGAAGGACGTGGAGAAACTGAATGCCCTGCGCTGGGGGACACACAGTGGGAAACGGCGCAATGGTTCCCGAAAGATCAAGCGCAGAAGGATTACATGACCCAGTGACGGCTTCTGTGTGTACTGCGGAGAGCGCGGAAAGCAAGGAGAAAAGACAGAGGCGTGCCCCACGTCCACAGCAGCAGCGTTCACCACAGCCGAAGGTGGGAGCGACCTGTATCCACAAGCAGGCGAGTGGACGAATGTGGTCTACCATAATGGAGTAGTACTCAGCCTTAAAAAGGTGGGTTTGCTTTTTCACCTTGCTTTTGCATTACTGGGGATTGAACCCAGGGCCTTTCCACTGAGCTACATCCCCAGCCCTTGACTGTTTACCTTTTGAAACAGGGTCTCACAAGTGGCTAAGTTGCCGAGGCTGGGCTTGAACTTGTGATCCTCCTGTCTTAGCTTCCCTGAGTGCAGGGATTATCAGCATGTGCTACTGGACCCAGCTCAACCTTAAATTCTGACACACGCTAACATGGGTGAACTCTGAGGACACTACACCGAGAAGAGCCAGTCGCCAAATGACAAGCACCACGACTCCCCTCCTGTGCGGGGCCTATTGCAGAGCGCTCGGATTCCCAAAGACAGGAAGTAGAATGCAGTCCGCAGGGGGCTGGCGCAGGGGTGGGGATCGCTGCGGAATGGGGACACCTTCAGTTCTGCAGATGGAAAGTTCTGAAGACAGGCTGTACATTAATGCGAATACACTCGCTACTGAACCCCATGCTGCACTTCGGAATGGCTCCTTTGGGCGGCTGGGGTATAGAAGGGGACGGAGCACACGCTCTTCACCTGCGAGGCCCTGGGTTTCATTTCCGGCACCACCAACAACAAAAAGGTTAATTTTATGTTACATATACTTCTATAAATTACACATAAGAACTCCAAGGACTCTGGCACCCCGCTGCCCTCGGGGGTCTGGCTGTGACCTGCACCAAGGGCCTCCCTGCCCCAGCCCAGCCCAGCCCGAAGGAAGAAGCGCCGAGGGCTTCCAGACTCACCGGCCGAAAAAGGCCACCTTCATGTGCCGCCGGGCCAGCACCTCGCTGATGCCCCTCACTTTGGCCAGGTAACCTTTGACATCCAGCACCTGCTCTTCCGTTGTGACGGGGTCCAGCTCTGCATTCCTGTAGGTGTCTGGAGGTGGAGATGATAAAAGGGTCACCATAGGATAGGAGTTCTGCGACCACAGCCCGGAAGGACCCGAGCGCTGGCCCGCTCACCAGAACCTCCACGGGGCCACCTCTGTGGCTCCCTGCCGTGGCAGCCAGGAAGGGACTGGCAGCAAGCCCGCCTGGGTTCCCGAGCAGTTCTCACAGCTGCCCGGCTCTGGGGCCGCAGGCGCAGGGGCCTCCCCCGTCAGGGGGAGGCAGCGGCACTGTCTGTATCACTTCGCACAGGGCAAGTAAATTAAACACCAAGCGCTGAGAGCGGGGCTTCCGGGAACACCTGCATGTTAACTGCTTTTCCTCAGGTATTTTTGTCTCAATGAATGCTCACGAAGCTCTCACCACAGGTCAGGCACCGTGCTAGTCACTTTCCAAACACGGCCTCGTTCTGGCCTTGCTGCTTACTCTGCGCAGCGTCGTAAGTGGCAGAGCCAAGATTTGAACCAGGCACCTGGCTCCAGAGTGCAGGCTTTCAAGCCCTCCACGCGACATCACAGGTGCTTCCTGACCCGGCCCTGCCAGCCCCTCTCCACCTCCTCACCTCCTCGAACTCACCAGCCCCGCCCCTCCCCCTGCACTCTGCAGATTGGGCACAGCACCTTGGAGCCATCCGGCTCATGCCACCTGGCCTCGGGTTGCTTGGGAGCCTCCGCCGCCCATACCCCAAGCTGGCAGGCCCCAGGCTGTGCACCCGCCACACCCAACCCAGACCTCGCCACAGTGGAAGTGGCTAGCTTGCCTGTCTGCGCTGTTTACCACGGAGGCTGCATCACCCAATCCTTCACCGGCAAGGGGCACAAATGCTGGCTAAGCGGACAGACACCTGGATCACTGAGTGGTTTCCTTCTGGCGCCCCTGGCACAGGCAGATGGCTAACCAATTTTATATATACGTATATACACGTGTATATATATATTTGATTTTTTGAGACCAGGTCTCGCTATGTAGTCCAGGCTGGCCTTGAACTCACAGTGCTCTGCCTGCCTCGGCCTCCTAAGTGCTGGGATTATAGGCGTGAGCCACCCCGCCCTGCCTTGCAAATTTTTGTGAAGGACAGCAGCTGAGCAAGGTCCTGGGCCACTCCAACCAGCACTAGCATGAAGGAAGGGCTTTGCGTGACCCTCAGCACACTCCTGCAGAGCACCGAGCGGATGGCCCCAGTCCTGAGAACACTCTCAAAGCACCCTGAGCGTGACAAGTGGCGTCTCAGAGACCACACAGCGAGCGGCTATCATATGAAGGGGTGTGACCAAGCCAACACGCCCCCGCCCCGCCCCAGCTGGCCCTAGCCCAGATCCCGCCACCTCCCTCCCTGCGTGGGCAATGGACTCGGCCTCCGCAGGGACAGGAGAGAGCTGGCTCCGGGGCTGTGGCCACCCAGGGAAGGGAGCGGCCCACAGGCTCCTGCTGCTCGCCCTTATGAGAAGGCCCAGATGGGAAGTTGCCCTCCCGGACCCAGAGCAGCCCCAGCTGTAGCTCAGGTCCCTCCGCTCCTCCCCTTCCCGGGCAGGAGGCAAAGGCCACACATTTTCAGAGCTCAAAGCACTCATCATATAAACACCTTTCTGAGGCACGCGCTGGCTCACAGCCTCACGTGAGTAAGTGACTCAGGGGCCACAGCGATCACTCTAGCCTCCAAGAGGACGGCAGCCTTGTCACCACCCTGCAATCCCATGCTTGGCACAAAGCCCGGCAGAGCAGGGCGCCCTCTGAATAAGCAGGTAATGCTGAGGAAGACGGAGGCACTGTGAGACCGGAAAGCTACATAGACCAGACACAGGAGCTTAAACAGTGTATGGCTTCTCTTATGTGACAAACACGAAGTATAAATAATTTAAAGAGCGAAGTAGAAGATGACGGGAAACAAGGAGACAGACTGTATGGTGATGAGGAAGGGATCTGGGGATGGAGGAGAGGGGAGGGAAGGCAGGGAAAGGGGAGGGAAAAAGGATCAAGATGTGAGGTGTACAAGTATCCATTCTCCACGATGAATGTATTTATTGTATGTCGCAAACATATACTAATTGAACAAACAAACAGGCAGTAAAGTGGAATCATTTCTCTCTCTAATCCTATACTATTAAAATTCAGGGTTTTTAAAAACTCTAGGTGGGCACGGTGGCTCACATATGTAATCCCAGCACTTGGGAGGCTGAGGCAGGAGGATCATTGTGAGTTCAAGACCAGCCTAGGCTACAAAGTGAGTTCAAGGCCAGCCTGAACTGCAGAGCAAGACCCTGTCTCAAAGACCAAAAAACAAAACAAAACAAAACAAAACAAAACAAAACAAAACCCAAAAAACCTCTTCATTTAATTGCTAGGGATCAAACTCAGGGCCTCAGACACGCTAGGCAAGGCCTCTCCCACTGAGCTACATCCCCAACTCTGTTTTTTAATTTAAAAAGTATTCAGGGGTCACTTTTGCTTGTATCAGGCACCACACAAAGGGCCAGCCACAGACAGGTTAATGAAGCTGGACCCAGACCCCTTCTTCAGGGACTGGCTGTGAACCCTGGTGGCCCTGTGCAAGGCAATGCAACGCCAGCGGGCTCCAGCAGACAGCAGCCTGGAGAGAAGGTGGCCTGAGTCAGGGCTGCCCTGACTCAACCTCCATTGAGTTCTCAGAATCGGAAAATGCCTGGTCTCACCTGAGCCCCTCTTTCACAAAATCGAGGGCAGCTAAGAGCCAGCCCTCGGGGCTCACAGCCAGTCCCCGACCTGCAGCCAAGGTGCCTTCCAGAGAGGGAGCCGGAGACGGCCCGCAGTGGGAGCTGGTGTGGGACAGAGTGGGGCTCGGGGAGCCAGCCCTTCTCTGCCCATAGGGCAGGGACTACAGGCCGGCCTCAAATTAGTAACAAGTAGAAAAGGCAAAGGTGACAAGAATGCCTATTCATAGTCCTGTCGCCAATCTAAAAATATCACGGGTAGGGCACCCTGCCCAGGGTAACCAACACCCGGCAGTGCCTGGCATGATGGCCGCCAGGACTGGGTCGAATATGTAGGCTGTGAGGTTGTAAACCTGCACTAGGTCAGTCACAAGGGGGCAACTCAAAAACCTCAGTCTGTTTGTCCTTTAGATGGGAACAACGTTCACCTAGCCCTCAGGACAGGAATTCGTGGCATTCTTCAGTCAATTCTTAAATGCTATTTCCTGGGTCTTCCCAGCTTCCTAGAACCTAATTCCACAGGATTCTAAAAGCAAAGCACAACTGAGGGTGATGACCCATGGGTGCTTGTGTCCCGCAAAGCGAGGCTGTACCTCCCCTCTCCAAAATCCTACTCCCGGAGTATCTCAGCAGTCCGAGGGGGCACGGCTGAGCAGGCGCCTGCTCACCTTCGAGGAAGGTGGCGCTCTCCTGGATGTAGGCCCCCAGTTGCTCGAAGATGCCATTGATCTTCTTCTTGGCAGTGACAAAGTGCTTGAGAGGGGACGCGTTCACCTCCGCCATGTGTCTCTTATCCTTCTTGACCGTGACGATGGGGTTGCATCGAGAGAAGAGCAGGGACATCGCGCTGCAAGGGGAGACAACGTGAGAGCCAGGACACCCACCTGCGGACACGCCGGGGCACGGCAGGCCATGGAAGGAGAACTGGGACCAGCTCTGGGCTCCAGCAAGAGCATGGGACCCGCTCAAGGGGTGACAAGGTAAGAGCCAGTGTGAGGACAGCAGGAAGGGGACCTCAGACACCCAGAGCCGGAGCCTGAGTCCAGGTCGGTGCTGGCAACACCTTGCCTGCTGAACGGTGACAGCCTGGGTGGGAGGGAGGCAGGAATCTCAAGCTCACACACAGAGGCCGTCCGGCACCGCAGAGAGTGAGGCTCAAGGTCAGGGATGCCCACCACGCTTCCTTGGCCCTTCTGCTGCCCAGGAGCCCAAGGGCACTCATTCCTAACACAGCTTAGGGGCAGTGACAGAAAGAGATCTACTGCTAAAATTTACTGAGACTGGGCGTGGTGGCACACGCCTATATCCCAGCACCCAGCAGGCTGAGGCAGGAAGATCACTGAGTGTGAGGCCTGCCTGGGCTACAAAGTGAGCTCAAGGCCAGCCTGAATTGCATAGTGAGACCCTGCCTCAAAAAGACAAAAAAAAAAAAACTTACTTGAAAATACATTTACTGGTCTCTTAGTACAACCTGTGGATTATAGAAAATTTGGAAAGTGAAGGGAAAAACCCTTAACTCCACCACTCTGTGATAAGCACTGCCAGTGTGTTACTAACACTGTCTTTTTATGTGGTTCTCTCTCTCAATCACATGCATTTTTATGTGGTTCTCTCTCTCTCTCTCTCTCATCACATGCATCTCTACAGCCTGTTTGTTCCACACAGCAATCATTACTTGACTCCAAGGTCCTTTGGTCAAAGGTCAAGAGGCAGACAATCAGAGAAGGCGGCTCCAGGTGTTGCTGGGAAACCCTGCCCTCCAAAATGGAGCCCTGCCAGGTCCTCCTCAGAGTCCCTACCACAGAGGCAGCTCCTTCCCCGCAAAGCCCTCAGACCCAGGGCAGGAGAAGGGAAATGGCCCCTCTAAGCACCCAAGGAAATGTGTGCGGCAGGGTGCCTGGCTCTGTCACACTCCCTGCCTGGGCAGCCCCTGCCTAGCTAGCCCAAGACTCAGCTGGGAGAGGAGAAGGTGTCCCTCACAAGCGAGTACACATTGCTAGAAACTTGCAAATGGTGCCAGATGGTGCTGAGCAAGGTCCTGAAAAGCAGAAAGGGCATCCAGAGACAGAGCGTGAAGACTGAATGCCAAACCTGCTCTCAGGAACTACCCATCCCAAGGGTAGGAGAAAGAGCCCCAGGAGACAGGAAACCACGCACGTTGCTCAAATCTGCGAATCCTTTTGCAATGTGACAGACTCCTTGGGAGAGAGAGGAAGGAAGTGACCCCACTTCTGTTTGCACCTACCTCCTAGGACAACACCACACCTCTGAGAGGTGTTTTTCTTAACTAAGAAAGACAACAGGACCTTGAGAAAAAGAACTGGAATAAACCGACTCTGGCTCCTCCAAAGCAGAAAAGGAGAGTGCAGGGTACAGGCAGGCAGTCGCACAAGGAAGTGGGTTGGTGATGTAGCTCACTGGTAGGATGCTTGCCTAGCACAGTCCTGGAGTTTGATCCCAGTACTAATGGGGGGAAAGCTCACACAAAAAAGGGGTCTGGGATGGAGGGCTGCACATGATGGATTTTTGGAATCAGTCACGCACAAATTGTGACGATAGCCAGGTGTGGTGGCACACAACTATATTCCTTGCATTCAGGAGGCTGGGACAGGAGGATCGCCGAGAGTTTAAGGGCAGCCTGAGGTACCTAGTGAGTTTGAGGCTAGTCTAAAGTTCATAGCGAGACCCTGTCTCAAAAAAAAAAAAAGACTGTACTCTTTCTGGGCTACATAAACTTAAGCAAGTTATTTCATCTTAGAACCTTGATTTTTTCATGTGTATCACAAGTACAATACCATGTAAACTGTGAGAAGACTAATGATTAGAAAAGCTATATGCTTAGTGTGCGCGTGTGCGCACACACACACACACACACACACACACACACACACAAAGGAATCACAGGTAGTTTTACACGGCTTAAAGCTATAATAAGCCACTAGCAAGGTCACAAGATTCTCCCCACAAGCCCCCAGCCTGCAGGGAAAGTAACTCTGCTCCCACCCGCTGCTCCCACCCGCTGCCCTGGAGATTGAGTGGACAGGTCTGCTGGGCAGATCGGCTGTGCCCAGCCCCCAGAGTGACTTGCTTGCAGAAGACAAGTTCCCCAACAGCTACTGGGCTTTCAGAGCAGGTGCTTTTTAAGTTCTAGCTACTGTGTGAGCCCGAAGGATGGGAACCTAAAAGCACGAGCGTGCAGTAAGTGCAAGATTCAAGGGAATGCGTATCAGCAAAAGCTTAGTCGGTTAAGCTTAAAGTCTTTGGAGAGTTCGGGCAGGAAATGCCCTGTGCTCACCGTTACAACGCCCGCAGCTGTGCGTCCCCAACACCTTGTGAAACCCACCAGCGACTCCTCCGAGCTGTGGGATTTCTCTAGCTCTGCCGATTCCCAAGCTGAGATTCCACACTTAACCCTGCTTTCTGCTGGGAACACCCCTTCCTTGTTTCCCCATCTGGCATACACTCTCACTGTCCTAGGCCCAGCTCAGGCATCACCCGCTCCACAGAGAACGCCACCCTCACCAGACTGTGCCCCACCTAAGTTCTGAGCTCCTCGAGAGCCAGTCTGCAAGAACAGTGACTCTCCATTTTACCTTCCTCCCCACAACGGTGAGAGTCATAGGTTAAGGGGGGAACACCCCCCAGGGACAGTCTTAAACCTTTCATCCCTGGACACACAAACCTATTTTCTTCATAAAAAGCAATGTTTAGGGCTCAGTGTCCAGAGAGCTGAACAAACCTTTCAGATTCTGAAATACAATCCCTCCAAAGAGCAGGCTGGACATACACATGTGCACAAAAGGACCAGAGCTGCAAAAACACGCACAAGAAGCAGGACAGGGCCCCCCTATCTCAGGGCTCTGTCTGCTGCCCCTCTAAGTCTCTCAGAGCTGTGGGGAGCCGCCGGCTTCCTGCTCCTCCTCTGGAAAGCCCTGATAAGACACTACTTCAACACAGGGCTCATGGAAGGCACGGGGAACCCATCCCCCAGGCATAGCTGAGCCGGAGGGGCCAGTTCCACCATCAGTTGCACAGTCAGAGCTTTTGAGGCAGCTCAAAGTGCTCTTGATATTACAGTCTCAGATAGTTTACAGCCATATTTCCCAGTATGGTCCACAGAACTCTAGTTGCACCCAGTGTTCCATGTAAAAAGGGTTCCACGCTAGAATCAGTTTGTAAAATACTACATGCTGCTGGGCCTCTCCACTGGCACACACAGATGGTAAAAGCTATAGGAAGGTGAGTTTAATATAGTTTCACTGTATTTGAACAGCGCTGCACACATTTATTCAACGAAAAACCTCTTCTGTGTAACGGGCTTTAAAATTGTGATCAGAAGCTGGTGTGGTGGTGCACACCTGTAATCCCAGCACTTGGGAGGCTATGGCAGGAAGATCACCTTAAATTCAAGGTCAGCCTGGGCTACACAGTGACTTCAGGCCAGCCTGAACTACATGGCGAGATCCCACCTCAAAAAGCAAAACAAGGCTGGGGATATAGCTCAGTGGCATAAGCACCTGCCTGGCAAGAGCAAGGTCCTGAGTTCAAGTCCCGGTACCAAAAAAAAAAAAAAAAAAAAGGCAAAGCAAAACAAAACGAAGTTCTGAGGATCACACTCCCAGAAAAGGCTCTTTCATCCTGGTAGTCTTCTACTCTCACCCGTGAAAAGTGCCAGCAGCACAGTATTAACAGCTACTAACCTAAGACAGGAAACAAAGCCAATTCAGAATGAAACTGCTACTAGCACGTCAAAGTGATCAGAAAAGCTTTGCCTCAGCCTAGGCCAGTAGTGACAAACCTATGACAAACCCATGTTACAGCAGGCTGTTTGTATCACTGAAAGCTCTAAAAGGTTTGCCATCACTGATCTAGGCCATTAGTACAGACATACTAGGTATTCTGGGTGTAGGCACAGCAGGAGCAAATTCACTGCAAGGTGTGTTTGATCCCAAGCACAATCCCTAAATCCACACCACCTCCTTACCCAGTTTTATGTACAGCAACTCCTAGCAGGGAAAATAAAATGCATCCACGGATCGTCTGCTGGCACAACGGGAACAGAGGAGAAGCTGAGAAATTGAAACAGAAGAGTATACAGGGTAAAGGGGCAGAGCAGACTGTTAGGAGAACTGTAATAAGGAGTCAACCTCCGCTGGACAGAGCCGGGAAGAAAAGCCAGCACAACACAGAAGAACAAAAAAGGGAGACACAGACTAATTCTTCAGGGAGCCCAGGAGATCCCGGCCACTTTAAACAGGCTCCCTCAGCAACCACTGAAATTCTTTATGGGAAGAAAGGAGATGGAGTGGGTTTTTAAGTTTCCAATGCACTGTATGCAAAGAGGAACCCATCCAAGACACTTGCCACCTGAAGGCCAGGGCCAGCAGAATACAGTATAATACACCCTTTCCACTCAACCCAGAGCCAGAGTTCCAGAGGTCACATCTATTACTTACTTTTTGGGTGGTAAGAGACTTTCACAGGGTGGGCATTATGGCCGTGGCTGGAGTCAAAAAATAAAAAGAATCTGAGTTCTCCTCTGTGCTGTCTCACGTCAAGGTTGGCTGTAGATGGTGTGTTGACTCCACCTGTCCCACCTTACTGGAAAGGAAAGGGGAGATGTCAACAGATGGCAAAAAAAGAAAAAACAAAACAAAACAAAACAAAACTGGTGTACACAACATGTCTAATCAGGTTTTAAAGTCAAACAAACTCATCCCTCAGGGAAGCTTACTCATCGAGGTCTGGGGTGCTGGGCTGGCATGTGATGCCAAATGCCCTGGGGAAGGCACAACACACAGGTGTGGGGCCAGTCCTGGGTGTGCACGAACACGTGTTCAGCCATGTGCTGGTTAAGTGTTACAGAGGTCCCCTAGAGGGGATCTGGTAAAGGCACATCCAGAGTGGGGAGGGGAGGGAGCAGAACATGCACTGGGGTTGAGGACCAACTCCCACCTAGAGAGGGGAGGGGTGGGGTGAGGAAGGGAAGTGTTACTGATTAAAAGCCAGTGTAGGGGCTGGGGATTTAGCTCAGCGGCACAGCGCCTGCCTGGCAAGCACAAGGTTGTGAGTTCGATTCCCGGTAGCGGAGAAAACTCCCCGCGCTCCAAAAAAGCCAATGTACCCCAGCTGGTGTAAAGTGTCTCCATTCTAGGAGGCCGAAGAGACGACTGGGATGCTTGGAAGATTCACAGACTGCTGAGTCTAGCGACCAAGTGGGGAACTGAGACACTGTACCAGTTCTGACTCGAAAGCTCACTGTGTTTTTCAACTACACGAGACTGCCTCACTGTCCCTCTTTGGGGGCAGGAAGGGGAAGATCAGAGCCCTTTCTTTTCTGGGAGGAGGGAAAGAGACGGATGACTGAGGATTGAAAGAATTTAAAAATGGATTTCAAAACAGGAGGGCAAGCAGCTTTGCCTTCCCGCATGCAAGGAGCTATTTCTTTAGCATTTTCTCTCTCTCTGTGTGTGTGTGTGTGTGTGTGTGTGTGTGTGTCCGCGCGCCAGGCGCTAGGGTTAGAGATAAGAACAGTCCCTGCCCTCGCGTGCATGACAGTGCGAAGAGGAATCATACACGTCAATAGGACGCTGGACTAAGCGCCCCAAGAGGGGGAGGCCGGGGCAGGGCGCTCCAGCAGCGAACCGGCGCATGTATCTGGTGCTCAGTAAACGCTGGCAAGCGCAGCGGACTGAGGGAAAACCACGAAAGGGGCAGCAGCGAGAAGCGGCCGTGAAGGCTGTGAAGAAGGTCCAGAGACCTCACACCGCAGCCCCGGGTCCTGCGTCCCGCCCCCTCCTCAGAGCCACCCAGGGCCGGGATTCGGGGCCACAGCGTGGGGACGCCCCTCTGACCTTATCCTCAGGCCTGAGGGCCCCACCGTTCCACCACCCTGGGCTGGGCTGCTCGAGGATCTCCGGTCCGGGGCTGGTGAGTCCCACTCTCCCGGCGGGATCGCCCTCTCACCTTCACCTTCCCGGCCTCGCGGCGGCCATCATACCCAGCACGTCACCAGCGAGCGCCACCCAGAGGGGCGGTGGGAGGAGGACGGGGACGCGTGCGTCATCAGCCGTCGACCGCTTTCCTCCAGGCCTGGACGAGCCAGTGGACTCCGAGCTCAGTCAGTTGTAACTTACTACTCCTTATGTCGCAGTGATCTCACGGTTCTGCCTTTGAAAGACATCGCACCGCGCTGTTTTACCGGCGGTGCGTCCCAAGCCGATGACATAAGTGCCTCGGGACTTCCGCTGCATCATGGGAGCTGTAGTTTCCGCGG